TTAACAGTTACCATGCTCCTGTCAGTGTTTTGCCTTGTGCCATTTAGCATTGCCCAGACAATACCTGGGCACAGTTTAGGAGACAGCACTCGTCTGGGTCTGTTTCCCATGGTCAGTTTGGGTATTTTCATCTCAGTTTTCTTTGGAGAGAACCTCTATTAAATGTGTGGAGGCAGGCCATGCCATGCACTGGAGGTCAGGAGCACAGAACAGTCTTTGTTCATTGTTCATAACACAGATGCAGCCAGAAAGTCTGCAGCTGAAGCACAAGAAAAGTGGCAACAGAGGATTGTAGTGGAGTATCAGCCCACTGATAAAAGACAGAAAAATCTGGGAGGTAGTGCATCTCCTGTCATTGTTGATGTAGCCTTGACAATGTTTAAAAAGAGTTTTTCTACCCTTTTTGAAATACTGAGAAAAGGTAATTTGTTGGGATTTTTAGTTCTTGCATTTTAGGCACAAACTCACATCAATTTAAGAAATTATAAACTATTATTGAACATCCTGTTATTATCAGCTGCTGTTATTATATACTGATCATTTTCAGATTCTGTTGGAGAGTGACCGCTCAAAAAGTTCAGTAGATTCTGTTACAACAAAAGAGGCAGAAACAAGTGATGAGGAGGGACAAGAAAGGAGCATACTTCTCCTGTTCCACTGGTGGCTGATCTGCCTTACGGAAGCCTGACCTTTCCCAGACACTCATTCACACACCATAAAATGTTCAATACTCTCTATTATCTTGAATACCGTGCCATGGGTTGGAAAAATCTTAGTGCTAGAAAGATAATTTTGCAAAGATAACTACTGGTAAGTTGGCTATCTATCAGTTTTACAGTAGAGACTGACATCTTTGGGATGTGAGAAAGTTTAGAATTATAATCATAAAAATTTGAAAATATTGACAAGCAAGTTATACTTGATGTATTGAAGGAAAAATAAATAAAGAAGGCCCAAAAAAGTAATGAAAACAAAAAAGTTGTACAAAGTAATATGTCAAATATATTACTTAAATTTCACCCAATGGTCTCTGAAGAGTAATAACCTGAATGACAAAGACATTAAGAAGAAGGGTCAGACCCATATAACACACAAAAGAAAAATAAAGCTACCTCCAGCAAGTCACTTTCTTTCTGACTTTACTATTTCAATATTCTTATATTATTCTGCAGATATCAAAATAGAAAAAATATTCTTCAAACAAAACAAATTACGGACTTGACCCCAAAACTATATATATATATAGTTTTATATATATATTATAAAATATATATATAAATATATATACTGTTTATATATATAAATATATATATTTACATATATATATAAATATATGTTTCTATATATATTTCTATATATAGAAACTTACTCTAGGATATTAATATATATATATAAATATAATATATTAATATATATTAATATCCTATATAATATATAATACTATATATATATATAATATAATATAATATAATATATATTTTATATAATTTATATAAATATATTAATTATATATAATATAATATATATTAATATATATTAATATCCTAGTGTAAGTTTCTTTTCAATTTTCTTAACTCACTCTTTGGTGAAGAAGTAATCCTTAATATGGTGCCAGATCTCTCTGCAGACATCATTTCCTACTGCTGCAAACCAGGCAACTTGGGTAAGATCACAACTAAGCAGCATGCTTCCAGCTGGACCTAAGCATCCTGAACTTCCAGGCATCAAAGTTGACCTTAAGGAAATACAGTATGCCTACCTTAGAGATTTATTTTTTTCTAAGAAAAAAGAATAATACATCGAGTTTTATTTTTTTTATTTATTTTTTTAAACCTTTCTTGAGACTTTTGTGGTGCAGTAAGGAAAATTAAGTTGTATTTCAGTATCTTCTAAATGTATACAGTGTGAATATTGACTTTTTACCCATTAAAAATGTAAACATAGCTTTCAAAATCCACAAAGCCTTAGTACATGACCAGCATAGTACTCAGACTGGATTTTTAAAGAATATTCAAAGACTGAAGCTATCAAGAGCAGAGGATTGTACTTGATATATTTGTTGAGTTTTTCTTAAATAACTTAAAACTTGCAAAGTTGAAGTCTTCTCTTTCCCAAAGACAATTATCACAGTTATGGGAGAAAAGTATTTTTTTTCCAATGAAACCCAAGTTCTTAAGCTCAGTTCACACAGTTGGTCATGCAAAATCAGCAAATTTTTAAAAATTCCCTTGGGCTGGCTTAGACATCTGTGACTTAATGACAATATAACAATGGGATAAGGCTTTCCACGGTCTTCCCAGTAACTTCCAAATAAAATAAAAATAAAATAAAATAAAATGAAATAACCCTTTAATAAACCCTCCTCTGACAGAAATAGTAATTACAGTGTTATAAACTAGCAAACTTGTTCAGATCAAGACCATGACCCTATTTACTACAAAGAGACCCCTACCACAGTGTGGCAATTCACGTGCTGCCCTGACCAGAAGGGTAGCATGTAAAAATTCTTCATTGATTCTGCACTGCTTTCTTCTGCTACCGTAGCTGAAGAAATTTAAAGGCCAACACATGGGAATTAGTGCAGCACAAATGTGTGATGTGAACATTACATTCATCACAGAATCATCTAGGTTGGAAGAGACCTCAAGATCATCAAGTCCAACCTCTGACATAACACTAACAAGTCCTCCACTAAACCGTATCGCTAAGTTCAACAACTAAATGTCTTTTAAAGACCTCCAGGGACGGTGACTCCACCACTTCCCTGGGCAGCCTATTCCAATGCCAAACAACCCTCTCAGTAAAGTTCTTCCTAACATCCAACCTAAAACAACCCTGGCGCAACTTAAGCCCATTCCCCCTCATCCTGTCACCAGGCACATGGGAGAATAGACCAACCCCCACCTTGCTACAGACTCCTTTAATGTACCTATAGAAAGTGATAAGGTCGCCTCTTAGCCTCCTTTCTCCAGGCTGAACAATCCCAGATCCCTCAGCCTCTCCTCGTAGGACTTGTTCTCCAGACCCCTCACCAGCTTCATCACCTTTCTCTGGACTCTTTTGAGTACCTCCATGTAGCGAGCAAGGGGCCCAAAACTGAACACAGTACTCAAGGTGCAGCCTCACCAGAGCCGAGTACAGGGGGATAATTACTTCCCTAGACCTGCTGGCCACACTGCTTTTTATGCAAGCCAGGATGCCATTGGCCTTCTTGGCCACCTGAGCACAAGCTATTCTAATATCTCATATTCTAATATCATAAGCTAATATCACAAACTATTCTAATTTAGCACTTCTGAAGCTCTTGATGCCATAGTAATATATGGTGTGTTGTCTCTTGTGAACAGAATATATGCTTTTTTTTTTTTTTAATGAGAGGACAGTTTTTAACTGATTGTTAATGGACATTTTGGCTGACTATTTTACAGAATTCTTATGGTTATTACTATCCTGATTCTTTTTCAATAGAGAAAAACTGGCTGGCTTTCTCATATGAATTTTTCTGGTGTTTGGAAAAGGAAAATAGCCAGTAAATGTTACATAAAAACAGGAGGGGAATTGAGTTACAGAAGTACCCAAATGCATCCAAACGAGTAAAACATATCACATATTATTCTTGAATAATGCAGACTCTTCAGAGGTGCTAGACTGTTTCTCTGGAGTTCTGTTTATGTGTGATGGACAAAAAAAAACATTCCTACATGCCCTTATATTGAAGCTGATTTTACTGAGAGACACACCTTGGCATCCATGGATGAGCCTCCTTTAGATCTATCAAAACTGAGCACCAACAGCTCATCCTGTGTCTGTTATCTCTTTTATGCTGTCAAAGAATCAGCTCTACCCCTACATAGTTTGGGTTTCTGTTACCTATCACTCCAGTCCCAAGTGACATAGCCTGAAGCAATGCTCTGTGCCACCCTTGTGTGTTGATGGACACAGCTGTAAATACCATGTAGTCTTTTTCCTTTCCTTCCTCTAGTCTTTCCTGCAGTCGTATCAACAGTGAGGCCCACAAAACACTTGATAACGATTAGACAGCTGGTATAGATTGTGAGAAGACTGTGAAAATAATAGAGCTGTAATTTATTTACTTTAGTTCCACAACTGGATCTAAATGAGTGAAAAGGGAAAAGGAGAAGAGAGATATACACATATCTATGTACATATGTGTATATATGTACATATAACTATGTACAGGAGGAAAATAATTTCATATCTGAAAAGACAAACAAATGAAAACCTGTTCTTTCATTCAACATCCCAATCTAGAAGAAAATAGATTTAGGGTCTTTCTGTAAAAAGGTACTACTGGAAAAGTGATTGTTCTTCCTTCTGATTCAATAGCCTGTCAGGATAGGCTATCAAACACTTGAGCAGGATTCAAAGGTTTTTTCAGGTCAGGGTCAGGGTCAGGTTCTGGTTGAATGCGTTGCTCTGCCTGAAGACATTTGAACCTACTTCATTCCCCCTAGAAGAATGTAATAAGTAAAGATTCATGGAAGCATTATTCCACTTTCTATAAATAAACATTCACAAGAGCAGAAGTTAGAGCATGTTTGTCACTTCCTGGTTGAATGTCTCAAAAAAAGTGGGTAGAATAACTAGTGCTAAGGTTTTAGTATAGACAATGTATATTTACCTTAACATCCTCAAGGGAGAAACTGGAGGCCATCTTCAAGATTTCTGACATTCTAGGACTGCTAAACTAATCACTTGAAATCATAATGTGGCTTACTAAATATTGAGAGGACTACAGTGGGAAGTGAAATATTTTAATTACTTTTGTTCTTAGAAACAAAATCTGATGCTGCATTTTCTGAATTCTGAATGAAATCTATGATGACTGAGCAAAAGAAGAGACATTGTTGCTATTTCTCTTTAAGGAAGAAACTAGCCCTTTCCCTTCCAATCTTGTAAAATTTTCTGGACACATGTGAGAATTAACACTTGTCAAAAAACAAACAAACAAACAAACAAAAAAACACTTTTACTGTAAATCTTTTTTTCTAGATTTAATCTGACATAACCTAATCCAAGCTTTTCAAGCCCATCAAACGTATTACACAGTCCAGGGTCTCATTACTATGTATACACATCATTTTTTTTTTTTGCTATTTATTTATTCCCAAAATGACTAGCATCTTCTCATTTGTATTGCACATAGGCATTTGATGTATGGGCATCCTGATACTGTAAAACAATAATTCCTGATGAGAATTATTTTCTGGATGTTCTGGAATTTTTCTGTTCTGTTTCTGGAAGGATTTTCTGGATGTTCAAGAATGTAGAAATCTGAAAAACAATCAGATAATGACACAATATTTATTGGTTGGAAGCTCTTGTTTTTACTGTCTGATGATATCACAATATCACAGTAACACTGTGATCCACACTGCATCTTCTGTGCTATATTTTATTTGAAGAACCACTACTCCCATAATATAATGTTTCCTAAAGCTAAAATTGAATGTTGAACTTTGAATTCTCTTAGACAGTATCTTAACCCCAGCTGAACTAGAAAAATGATCTACACTAGGTGTTCCCAGCTTAAATACTTGAACTGCTTATTTTGGAGACCACATCCCAGAGAAACATAGCAGAAGATTGTGTTTTCCAAAAAATAACTGTCTTGATCTATCTTGGCTGGTTCATAAAATTGTTGTATGAGGTTACTGCAAAGCCTGATTTTTAGGTGAACGTATTCCAGGTTAGATCATTGGACTTTGAAATGAAACCTCTACTTCCGTAAAGTAGAGGCAAAGTGTTGTATTCTTCAGAAAGATCCAAGTCCAAAAATGCCTGAGGAAAGCCATGGTCATGGCTTAAGAATCTGTTTTCTGATTCTTTTTCTTATGAGAGGTGGAGAGGAAGGCTGGAGGCAATGCAGATAGAAGGAATCCTGGTCAGGAGGAGGAAAGACAGCAGAGCTAAATTATGACTTATGGATAATCACTTATTTTGCTGTTGTAAGGTTTTATTGCATTTGGCAATGAGTGGCTGTGTTGTTATATGAATTCATGCTCATTCCTTATTCAAATGAAGAAAAAAGAGTCATTAGTTCATTTCTAAAACAAAAAGAACATGCAGAAGCATCCACAAAGAAAATGACCTCTTTCATTTGATAGAGCTTTAAAAATGCGTAAAAGCAGGACTCGATTGCCCAATTAATTTGGTCAAATTCTTCTTGGTTACCTGTAGATTTCACAGTTAGTTAAGCAGTAGGAGGAAGTTATTACTCATGTTCTAAACTGTGCAACAGTGGATAAGGGAACTTAGAAAACTCAGAGTACTCTAGAGGACTTTTTCATACAAGTTTCTGGAGTTGCTAGTAGAATTAACTACAAGAGTTATCTATCTCTATCAGAGAGGACTCTTTGAGAAACAAACACTGTGTTCTTAGAAGGGTTAGGTACACAGACTTTAAGAGTTAGTCAAGTGGAACCAGTGTCTGTGGAGCCTGATGTGAGGAAACAAGATATCCCACCTCTGTCTAAGCTGGATATTGTATTTGTTTCTTTTCTGTCTCATCTCAGAGATGGACCTATTCAGTGTCTATACATACTTCCCCTAAAACTCCTAGGTTGCTTTTAAAGCTGAGTGACAGCAATACTTGTATTAATAAGAAGTAGGGATTGAACTTTTGTCCAGCAAATCCTATGTATGTGGGTGTTTTCCCAGTTAGACACTCGTGCTCACGGCAACTGACTTGTCATGATGTCCACTTTGATGTGTTATTTTTGGACAGCTGAAATAGAGAACACTTTTACAGCTATTTGCTTCACTTGACTGAAGATGGAATGGTTCCAGTTGTGTAAATACTTCCTGGTGCTCTTCCAGCTTTTCTCCTCACTACCCCCATGGAGATGCATTTGCTTAAGGAGGGCATGGCATGGGAGGAAGCATTGCTGGATTCCTCCCTCCAAACCTTCCAGCATATCTCAGACCTGAACTACAGGATCTCTACTAAGTCCAGACCTTGACCTTTCCTTGAAGAGAAAGAACCAGTTGTACACCTTCTGGTCATGGTTTTGTCAAGTGGACAATTCAAAAAATAACTAAATATGTGCGACTCTTGTTAGGACTTAGATCTCCAGAGATAATCATTTAATATCAAAATTAACTTCACATTCCTCTAATCCTAACTTACCTACCTTATTTTTTAACTTGAGATAATGATGATACAAAGTGAAGTAATGAACACATTAGGTTGGAATCTGGTATTTCTTTTTCTCTTGGAGTGCCTCAATTGAAACCCCTCTTACAGCACTACAGGATTTATGAGGATTACATAAAGAGTTTTTCCCATACCCATAGTGAGTATGAGTTTCATCCATCAATGCAAGCTTGTATAAGCCCTGTGAATGAATGGTTATGCATAACTTTGAAACCCAATGTCAAGTGGCAAAATGGGACTTTTCTCATGTATAATTGCAATCTGTGGTTTATGCATATTGCAATGAGGTTAGAAGGTATAACTTGTTTTGTAAACATGATTTTACTTTGTGTGCTTGATAAAATAAAAATAAGCAAACAAACAAAAAATATGGGAATAACAAGCCATGTTTTGATACTCTCTGTCAGAGTAATAATATCTGAATTATAAAAAAAAAATAAAATATAAAAAATCCTGTGCTGATATAAACTGATGCAGTTACATTTGTTTCTGGAGCTATGTTGTTGATGGCTGTTGAGTATATGACACGCTGTTAGAAAAGTATTAAAAAAAAATAAATAAAAATTACTGTTGTCTGGCTCTCCATCTGGCAAGAATGACCCTACTTCTCCACAGATATCAAATGACACAGCATGTTGAACATGACAAATCAGGGTGTGAAGTTAGCATTACGGATCAGACAAGAGGTCCATGTAGCCTTTTCTCATCCAGAGACTAGTGCTTGATGCATACAAAGAAAACAAAACCAAAACCTCAAAGAAACAGTACAAATATGTAATGACTGCTGCCCTTTTATATCCTTTCAGCTTTGCCAAGATGAGTGGATGAAACCCTTGAAAGAAGTATGAGATGGTTGAGGCTTCAGAGTACAGATCATCTTTCCTTGTTCCTCCTCAGCATTAACCTTCTTTTTGAGCTCTTCAGTCTACTTACCTCTTATTCTTCAATGAAGCATCAGTAGCATCAGGAGACCAGACAGTGTAACCTTTCAGAAAAAACAAACAAACAAACAAGCAAACACTTACCCTCAAGGCTAGAGAGATAAAGTCAGCAGCAGTCTTTGTCCATGAGCTGATGATCTTTGGCATCTGTTGGTGTTTTGTAACCTCTTTTTTTCACAAGAGGTGAAAATTAAAGTAGTTCTTGGGTTCCTTAAAAATTTTAGTGTATATATATTTATATATATATAAAAGGCCATCAGCAGTATCCTTGTTATCTTCAGAAGAGCTGTCCTAGGGTAGAGAGTGCTGCTAATCATAAAGTCAAGATAAGAAAGAAGTAGGTTTAAATCCAGTTTGTGTAATATAAATAGAGTTCATATTTGAAAAAGTGGTGAGCACTGACCTGGAAAATCAATACCAACACAGAATCACAGAATCATCTAGGTTGGAAGAGACCTCCAAGATCACCGAGTCCAACCTCTGTCCTAACACTAACTCCACTAAACCATATCACTAAACTCTACATCTAAACGTCTTTTAAAGACCTCCAGGGATGGTGACTCAACCACTTCCCCGGGCAGCCTATTCCAATGCCTAACAACCCTCTCAGTAGAGAAATTCTTCCTAATATCCAACCTAAACCATCCCTGGAGCAACTTTAGCCCATTTCCCCTCATCCTGTCACTAGGCATGTGGAAGAATAGACCAACCCCCACCTCGCTACAGACTCCTTTAATGTACCTATAGAGAGTGATAAAGTCGCCCCTGAGCCTCCTTTTCTCCAGGCTGAACAATCCCAGCTCCCCCAGCCTCTCCTCATAGGACTTATTCTCCAGAGCCCTCACCAGCTTTGTTGCCCTTCTCTGGACTCGCTCAAGCACCTCAATGCCCTTCTTGTAGCGAGGGGCCCAAAACTGAACACAGTACTCGAGGTGAGGCCTCACCAGAGCCGAGTACAGGGGGACAATCACTTCCCTAGCCCTGCTGGCCATACTGCTTCTTATACAAGCCAGGATGCCGTTGCCCTTCTTGGCCACCTGAGCACACTGCTGGCTCATATTCAGCATCATATTCATATTCATACCCAGGTCATATTCATACTCATATTCAACCCAGGTCTTTCTCTGCCAGGCAGCTTGCTAATCACTCATCTCCCAGCCTATAGTGCTGCTTGGAGTTGTTGCATCCCAGGTGCAGGACCCGGCACTTGGCCTCGTTGAACTTCATACAGTTTGCCTTAGCCCATCAGTCCAACCTATCCAGATCCTCCTGCAGAGCCTTCTTACCCTTGAGCAGATCGACACATACACCAAACTTGGTGTCATCTGTGAAGTTACTGAGGGTGCACTTGATCCCCTCATCCAGATCAGATATCTAAGAGATGGCACCAAAAATCTCCAGATAGTTCTAATGGCTAAACCCACAAAATGGAAAATGCATTGTCCAGAGAATTCCTAACATCTGTGAAATAAATAAATAAAAAAAACCTGTCTCCTAGACTAGATACCAGTTTGAATGCTTTACTTAATCATTTTTGAAAAATAAGACTATAAAACACAATATATTTCCTGGTAAAAAGATATTGTTGTATTTGTACCTCATTCTGTCCAGTTAGATTAAGTTCTTGAGAACATCAGACAGTTTTTATTTGCTTCTTGTCATGGTAAATTGAAGGACATTTAGTATTACAAAATAATTTGAAAAAACAAACAAACAAACAAATCTTTGCCGTTTAAAAAGGACCTGCTCAGACTCAAAATCCTGTAATTTTAAAATAAATTCACTTAAAGAGCTTTAAATCCAAATCAATTATCTTTTCTCCCCTTCTCACACATATTCTTTAGTTATCTCAGTATATTTTTTTTGCTTAATAAATGAGTTTTAAGTATGGTAAAATCCTATTAAAGAAAATAAATGTTTAGAACGCAGACCACAATCCAGCTTTGTATGCCAAGGGAACTGATACATGTCTTTCACTATGGAGTGTTGTATAGCAATAAAAATTTTTGCAAGTTAAACCGACACGCTTGAAACAGATATCCACTCTGAAATGCCATCATTCTGCAAACATAAGAAAATCAATAGGACACTTTACGTGTCATAAACTAATCATTCAAATGCAATTGGGAGCATAAGCTACTTAGACAAGTAGAGGCTTTAGAATTTAACAACATACCATATTGTTTATAACAAATAAATTAGCCATATAAGTTTTCAGCTCTCTGTCATGTACAGATGTAGACATTCTTTTATTTCCATAATTCAGTTTTTATAATGAAAATGCTTCTGAATCATATGATCACATAGGTCAAACATCATCCCTCCATTAAAGAAATGTGACTCCTTATTTCAGAAAAACGTGGAATGTTGTGTATGTATATAAAGTCCTACTCTTTACTTAGTCTTACAAAATAAATAAATAAATAAATAAAAATTGGACTATCCACAAATTGAATTACAGACCATATTTTGCAGCAATGCTGATGAATCATGAGGGAGAAGAATTGATTTAGCAAACAACTCAGTCAGAAGTACTAAATGAAAGTAGTAAAGAAAACGTTGCATCTGGAAACAATGTGTTTTAGAAAAGGATGCTCATTTCAAGACTGGCATAGGTTTCTCTTTTTAGTTCCATTCACTCTTGAGGTGAAAAAGGCATAAGCTTCACTGTTAACTCTAATTGCAGACAAAATTACCAGGCATTATATAATTAGTATGCAAATTCAACTACCAAATGAGCTGTTTCCTCCATTTGTAGGAAATGTTCATCTACCTAAGTACTTGTCTGCAGTGACTCTTGATTATTGGTGTTTACACAGTTTTTCTGCTTTGAAGTCACACTTTACAATTTAGTTTTTCTAACTGATATTAATAGAAGACATAACCTTCAAGTAACAAGATTAAACAGCCAATATACATTTTGGATGTGAATTTAAGGAACCAATGGAAAGACCCTTTCAGAATACATATAGAGAAAATGTCAGACACCTCTACGCATAATGAAAATGAATTTCCCTTACAATTTCTTATTGACTGTGTCTAAATCTTTCTCTATTTACGATGTTTTTGGTTTGAATATTTGAATTTAATTGAAGTGGTATTGTAATGTCATCAGTGTAAAGCTTTATTCAGAGTTTTCATCTCTCATTTACTCAGTCAAGTGTTATAGACACAGCAGAAAGGATTACAATGAACAGAAATAAATTGCAAGGATGAGAAGATATCCCTCAGGAATTCTAAAAGAAACTTGAAATGAATAATATTAGTAGGAATTCTGTAGGCAGAATTAATCTATATCATTCCCAAACACTTGAAAAATTATGCACTGGCCTATGTGAGAGATTTGAAATACACAGTTTCCTAACAGGGTCTGCAGTTAGGTTTTATTTGCTTTCTACTTTTTAAATTACTGTAGTTTGCATTTCTAAGCTTTTCTCTGTCACAATGAAAGCTGGGGTCTTATATTTTATCTTCTTTTAATGGAAGTGGCTCTTATATGAACACAAAGCATGGAAGTGCAATTTTCAATAAATATTTCAACTATGGTAAGATTTAAGATAATATGATAAGACTCACAGGTAAGAAGCCACTCAGTTAACACTGAAAATTTACTGTGTAAAGTAAGCTTTAATGTCAATTAGACCTTATGAAATGTGAAAAGCAACCAACCAAACACAAAAACATACTTTAAAAAAAAAAAAACAAAACACTTTTACAAAGTGTTCCGTTGTTTGAGAACAAAGTGTTCACATCTGTGCCCATGGCAGCGGGGTTGGAGCAAGATGATCTTTAAAGTCCCTTCCAACCCAAGCCATTCTAGGATTCTATGAAAGTGCAGAGTTTTTCTATGCAGTATTTTGATGATTTTCACAAGATGAGCTAGTAAGATTCTGAGAATGTCCTAAACATATTGTAGCTGTATTTAACTCTCTTAAAAATACACCCTGGTCCCTTTCACCAACAAAGTAAATAAGTTAGCCCTCAGGTTGGCATTTGAAGATGGGAGGTAGCATGATGTTTTACTTCTCTGATTCAGTGACAGCTTGGGAGGTTCCCTTAGAACCTATAGAACCTGAGAACGGTTCTACAAAGACTTGCTCAAAATACTGCACTATAACTGTCTAGTAAAAAGAGCCTAAGAAATAATCCCTCAGGCTCTTTTCATTGGACCTGGGAGCTTCTACAAAGTACAGAGACTCTCACATGTGATTATGTACAGGACTCTGACAGAAGGAGACAGTGGAAGCCTTCTTGTGATACAGTGCTGGGTCAAGGTAAGATAAGGGCATCACTTGCTCTAAATCTTAAATTTTTTCTTGTTTCCTATATGAGAAGAGAGATAAAAACCATAACGTGTGAGGTGCTACAGCAGAGGACTGCAAGACTGTTGTTTGAAAAGTGCAAGGGGGCGGGGAGCAGGATGTGGCCCTCACCATCCACGAAGAACTGGTTGGTGACCTGCTACGGCACTTGGATGTGCACAAATCGATGGGGCCGGATGGGATCCACCCAAGGGTACTGAGAGAACTGGCAGAGGAGATGGCCAAGCCCCTATCCATCATTTATCAGCAGTCCTGGCTATCGGGGGAGGTCCCAGCTGACTGGCGACTAGCAAATGTGACGCCCATCTACAAGAAGGGCCGGAGGGCAGACCCGGGGAACTACAGGCCGGTCAGTTTGACCTCAGTACCAGGGAAGCTCATGGAGCAGATCCTCTTGGGAGTCATCATGCGGCACTTGAAGGGCAAGCAGGCGATCAGGCCCAGCCAGCATGGGTTTATGGAAGGCAGGTCCTGCTTGACGAACCTGATCTCCTTCTACGACAAAGTGACGCGCTGGGTGGACGAGGGAAAGGCTGTGGATGTGGTCTACCTTGACTTCAGCAAGGCTTTTGACACCGTCTCCCACAGCATTCTCCTCAAGAAACTGGCTGCTCTTGGCTTGGACTGGCGCACGCTTCGTTGGGTTAGAAACTGGCTGGATAGCCGGGCCCAAAGAGTTGTGGTGAATGGAGCCAAGTCCAGTTGGAGGCCAGTCACTAGTGGCGTCCCCCAGGGCTCGGTGCTGGGGCCGGTCCTCTTTAACATCTTCATCAATGATCTGGATGATGGCATTGAGTGCACCCTCAGTAAGTTTGCAGATGACACCAAGCTAGGTGCGTGTGTCGATCTGCTCGAGGGTAGGAAGGCTCTGCAGGAGGATCTGGATAGGCTGCACCGATGGGCTGAGGTCAACTGTATGAAGTTCAACAAGGCCAAGTGCCGGGTCCTGCACCTGGGGCGCAATAACCCCAAGCAGAACTACAGGCTGGGAGAGGAATGGTTGGAGAGCTGCCAGGCAGAGAAGGACCTGGGAGTGATGGTGGACAGTCGGCTGAATATGAGCCAGCAGTGTGCTCAGGTGGCCAAGAAGGCCAACGGCATCCTGGCTTGTATCAGAAACACTGTGACCAGCAGGGCTAGGGAGGTGATCGTCCCCCTGTACTCGGCTCTGGTGAGGCCGCACCTCGAGTACTGTGTTCAGTTTTGGGCCCCTCGCTACAAGAAGGACATCGAGGTGCTTGAGCGGGTCCAAAGAAGGGCGACGAAGCTGGTGAGGGGCCTGGAGAGCAAGTCCTATGAGGAGCGGCTGAAGGAGCTGGGCCTGTTCAGCCTAGAGAAGAGGAGGCTCAGGGGTGACCTTATTGCTCTGTATAAGTACATTAAAGGAGGCTGTAGAGAGGTGGGGGTTGGCCTGTTCTCCCATGTGCCTGGTGACAGGACGAGGGGGAATGGGCTAAAGTTACGCCAGGGGAGTTTTAGGTTAGATGTTAGGAAGAATTTCTTTACTGAAAGGGTTGTGAGGCACTGGAACGGGCTGCCCAGGGAGGTGGTGGAGTCACCATCCCTGGAAGTCTTCAAAAGTTATCTATATCTAATGAAGCATTGTAATTCCATCATTAGATGTAAGAACTAGGAATTATACAATATCTTCCTTATCTCAGTCTTTCTCTGTATTTACTTTCTCAACAATTTTCACGGAATTGGTATTAGATCTTCCTCTAAACTGGAAGACTGGACACACAGATTAGATTACCTTGGACAAGTATTCAAAAGAGTTGAATCTGGGCCACCACCAGACCACACAGCTGTTCCACACACTCAGCCAGGTGGAATTCATTTTTTTGTTTCCATCTCAAAACACAGAGATTATTGTAACTGTACTTTGAGTCTAAACTATGCTTTTACTTTATCTCAAAGAGGACATTAAATTTGTACCATGAATTTAATCTACCTTTTATTTCTATCAGGAAAGCAGTCTGACTTTTAAAACTGGCCTGTTGTGATTTCTAAGTTGAAAACAAACACTGAAGGATTTTATTAAAACCAACTACTTAGCTTTTTGTGAAACAACCCTGCTTGGTATTTGCTTTCTACACATAAGACCTGTTTTTATTTTATCCCTCCAAAAAAGTTTGACGAAAAAGACCCTTAAGGCTTGCTATTCAAAAATTGGGCCTTTGAAAACAAATTTTGGGTAATATGAGCTTTAACAACACATTAATATATTTGTTTCTTGGGTTAGTGTATTTAAAGGCTGCAAGGAGTTATGGAGACTGCCTGCTTTTTTTTTTTTTTTTTTTTAAATCACGTGGGTTTTTTTGGCATTAGTGATGAAGCAGTTCTATGCCAGATAACCAAGGTTTACGAACAAAGCCACTTAATTTTAAAAGTTCACGTACAGGTTACAGAATCACCAGTAGCGTGAGCAGGTTTTCTTCTCCTTTCCTCTTCCAATCCATTAAACACCTACCTTGACAAACATACCCAACTGCAACCAAGGGTCATATATGTTCTTGGAGTAAGCAAAATGTCTGTGCTCTTGCTTCCCCAGGCTTGCTCAGTAAACCTGGACACAGATCCTGTGGCAAGCCCTCACTTACTGCTTAATTCTTTTTACAGGCAGCAGGTATTAAGCAAGCTTCTTGTAGCAGCTGCTCTGGGAAACACTGGTATGACTGTAATCCTCCCAGCTGAAATACTCCTAGGTATTTACTGATTCTCACTGTGCACAGCTGAAGAGGCTCCAAGTCACTGGAGCCAAACTAACCCTGGGGTCTAAGTGTTAGTATCCAAACATAAAAATGAAGAAAAAATATGTGTTCAGGATCAGAATTTTAGGTTAAACAGGAAAAATACCCAGATCAAAAACTTCTACTGTGGGGCACCCAGGAAGGTTTGTTTTAGCTATTGAACCCTTTTCAAAGCCTGCTTTTTCTCTAAATTTAATTCAGCTTTTGAAATGTAGAATATAATTTCAAACTGGAATGAGAAACATACTTGCATATGCCTCAAAAAAAAAATAAAAAAAAAATTGAAGGATTATTATTTTTTTTTTTCCTGGATCTTTGTTTTAGTTTGAACTATTTTCAGACAAAGATCCATTTCATACTTTGGTACCCTGAAGCTTATTTATTTATTTATTTATTTATTTATAGAAAACTATAGAAATAAAGCATCTACTGAAAAAATATTGCTCAGCTCTGGAAAATCACTTTGGCAACAAATACAATGATGAATGTTCTCAATGAAAACACTGAAAGGGAACTATCAAAAAATTTTAATCCAAGATGAACAGAAATACAAAGAATATAGATTTCAATAGAGAGATCAGTTCTCATAATAGCCTAATCTAATAATCAAGCTGAGTAGGAACATGTAGGAACATTGTGTCCTTTGGTGAAAAGACGGCTATAAGAAATAACTGCATGCTAAAATCCTGCTTCACTGGTTTCTCTCTTAAGTTTTGTATTATGTTAAGTTTTATATTACAACCTCAGCCTTCTTTAGCTTCCTTATCCAGGGACTAGTTTTATGGGCTGAGCAGACAGGGTACTAACTTCTGAAGTTAATCAGATTATCCACTTCTTATTTTACAGAAAATCAGAACATTTTGGAAGGAAAACTTTTACAATATTTATGACTAATATGGGCAAGATGGACCCAAACATTTTCCATCCATAGGATGAGACGTCTATATTTATCTGTCAAACTTGGGAATGAAGCATTTCTTAGAAGAACATAGAGATGTTTGAGATTTCAAAAACTATATGGGATTTCAGGCAAGACTAGGAGGATCTCTACTGCTGCCATATTAATTTACATACTTTTAAAGAGTCAGATCATACTAGATTGTGGATATTGACAATGCAAAGACACAGTGAGAATCTGAAATAGGTTGTACAGAAACACTCTTCGCAGAAACTATTCAGATATTAATATTCTTTTTCAGACTTCTCTGCTAATGTTTCAGCACCATAAGGTTGGTGTCTTTGAAGTAACATGAATGCTCCTTCCTTAGGCTTGCTGTGCTATTGGACTTGTTTTCATCTGGCCATTTTTATACAGAGCAGTCTGAAGAGGCAGAGAGGCTAAAACACAAAAGCTATCACAGTCACAGGCAGACTATGAATATTTTGATTTCACGAAAGGAAACAAAATGTAACTAGTGTTTGGAAATTTTCCAATGACTTCCATATATGACTGCCTGACATGTTCTTTTGTTCCCACTTTACCCTGTCTTTCTAGTGTTTGCATACAAGACTGTGTGCACTGCACCAGATGAAGTCTTACAGTGTACATGGTACACTGACATTTTTCCCCACATACTCTTTGGATCACATATGCCTTTTACACACCTCAACAATACTAGCAGCTCATGGTCATGTTGTGAGTCTATAGTGTGCACAGTCTTTTACTATTTACTATTACAGTCTTTTACTCTTTACTATTTTCAAGTCCTCATCATCCCATCTCTCCAACAGAAAGTTTTAATAGAGCATAAGTGAATGTCCTCTGCTTCTCATAGCATTGAATTTTCTCCCACTTCTGTGTCTTTATCTAATAGCCATCCAGTTCTTTCTCTGTGGACATCCCCATCTTTCACCATAGTGACGATGATTTTCAGTTCTGTTGTCATGTTTTATTAGATCACTCACGGGTTTCTGTGCCAAACTATAATGAAAACATTATAGAAATTTAGTCCAAATATGATGCTCAAGAAATTCCACTTCAATGTCCGTGTGATTCAATGTTTCTCATTTAGATATAACTTGTCATTTCCCCTTTTAGAAATTTATAGCCAAGTTCCAGTTCTTGTATTAATCATCTCCAGTCCAAAATATTTCCCCTGTGACCCAGTCTCATATATATTACTACCATCCACGTATGTGACTATACTTACCACATTTTCCTCATGTGAAATTCAAAGGTTTTATCAAAAGAAAAGTGACTGTCCTTATTACAGGACATGTTTGATAATCCATTTCTTTGTCATGTCATAAATTGACTTTTAAAATTTTGTTTGATTCTTTTGTCTTCAATAATATTATTAAGAGTATTGTTTTCTTTTTCTTTTTTTTTTTTTCAATCCTTTTGATATATAGAGGTCCTACTTTTTCTCGTTTCCCCATGATAACACTGCAAATTCATAGAATCGTAGGATCAGAAATGTAGAATACCCCAAGTTGGAAGGGACCCCCAAGAATCACTAAGTCCAACTCCCGGCTCCACACAGGACTATCCCAAAATCAGATGCTATGTCTGAGAGTGTTTTCCAAACACTAAAACTCCAGCAGGCTCAGTGCCAAGACCACTGTGAAGAAACATTTCTTAACCCCCAGCCTGACCCTTCCCCGTCCCAGCTCTGTGCCATTCCCTCAAGTCCTGTCGCTGTCCCCAGAGAGCAGAGCTCAGCACCTGCCCCTCTGCTCTTGTGAGGGAGCTGCAGGCCTCCCCTTGGCCTGGTCTGCTCTGGGTTGAACAAACCAAGGGACCTCAACTTAGTCTCATATGTCTTGCCCTCTAGACCCTTCATGATCTTTATTGTCCTCCTTTGGCTACTCTTTAACAGTTTTATGTCCTTCTGATATTGTGGTACAGAAAAGTATACGCAATACTTAAGGTGTGTCTGAACAAGTGTATCTGATGAAACTGACAAATTTATTAACACTTCTTCATATCAGAGCTGTTATTTTATCAGCATTTTGGCCATTGATTTGTTTTTTTTCAGGAAAACCTGAATACATATTATTCTGTAAATGTTCATTTTTTCAGATCAAGGAGAACCTAACACTAAGCTTTCCCCCTGTTTCATGGGTCCCATTCCTCACTCTTACTTCACTTTGCCTTTATGAACAACGTCTTCATGAAAACAGACAAAAATTCACAGGGGTTTGGTTGCTGATCCTTTAATATCAGCTTAGAATCATAGAATGGTGTGAGCTGAAAGGGACCTTAAAGATCATCTAGTTACACGCCCCCTGCCATGGCAGGGACACCTTCCACTACACCAGGTTGCTCAAATCCCCATCCAGCCCAGATTTAAACACCTCCAAGGACGGGGCATTCACAACTTCTTTGTGCAACTTGTTGGTGCCTCACTACCCTCTGAGTAAATAATTTCTTCTGAATATCTAATCTAAATCTACCCTCTTTTAGTTTAAAACCTTTACTTTGTTCATCTGCATGGTTGTCTTGTGCAATCAAGGCTTTTGCTATATTTTTCGCTCGTTCTTTCTTTCTTTCTTTCTTTCTTTCTTTCTTTCTTTCTTTCTTTCTTTCTTTCTTTCTTTCTTTCTTTCTTTCTTCCCTTTTTTTTTTAATTTCTTTTTTTTTTTTTTAATTTCTTTTTTATTTTCTTTTTTATTTTATTTTTTGAAACAGTCTTGTTCTCTTTTTACATATTTTGACCTCCATGGTGTAGCTTCTTCATTGGTCATTGGTTGACCCCTTAAGATCTTCTATAATGTCTCTATAACACCTTCTACAATGTCTAGGTCACTTTTAAAATTACAGTTATTTCTTTCTTGCTTATTGTCCATTCATAAAAATTGAATCACACTTGAACACCAACTATTGATTTCAAGTCTATATGTATAAATCTCATACTTGTACAATAGTAGAAATCATGGAATTATTTATTGTATTAGTACAGCCAGACTTGTTTCATCAATGCTCTGCAGGAGGACATTCAACTAGAAGCCTTGACCTCTTTCTGATTGACAGCAGGAAATGACAAAGTACCATCAGTTTTAAGAAGGAATCAATACTACTAAATTTTCTGCCAAAACCTGATGCAAAACAAACCCTGCTTGTGACTCAGAACTCACCCTCCTCCCTAAATTTCATGAGTATATTTTCATTGTTGTCACAGGGCATCCCTGAATTTATCATCTTCTTCTGGCATCAGTAAGACTGAAATGATATTACAACTTGGCAAAACACTACAGTTACTGAGTTTGAAGACAAGAGATTTCCAGTCCTGGGAAACTGGAAAATGTGTACTTAGCTGTATCACAAAAAAAGGTCATGTCAGTGATGCAAAAGATGGCATAAATTAGATGTGGGCTTTGGTATGCATGCAAAATGAAAATAATGTTGCATTCAGAAGATGACAGTAGACAGTCTTCTTTTTGCAATACACAATGCAAAGTCTGCTTGTGATCTTTTTGCTTTGGTTTATGCAGATGGAGCTCTACTTTTGACCATTACTTCTCATGAATGAGGCAGATCTCTGATCAGATTCTTCACCCAAATGACAAATATTTTATTGAAAGTGATACAAGTTTACTTGTATTCAATACCAGTGAACAGGCATTTTTAAAATTCAAGTATTCTAACCTAGTTTCTTAGAACAGTTCTGATGCAGTTCTTTTGTCCCACTTAAAACCTTGAGGCCAGAAGTAAATAAAACAATAGACCATAGAGGAACTTTCCAAGTCATCACAATAGTCACTTTAATATATTCTTTTTTTTTTTTTTTTTTTAATCCTGATGACAACTCATCACTTGATCTGCTGAAGAGTAGGGTGCACTGGGGAATCAAAATCTAAAATGTCCCCTGTGTCATCTTAACTTCTATTAAATTATTTTGAACTTAAAACTGGGTGAGATGAATCCCAACCATTGTTTCTGATTCTGAACATTATTGTTCAG